CAATTTCTTCGAATTCAATTAATTTAATTAATTTAATTGGTCTGGAATTGAAGGGGTCACTCCTCAGGAAACACCTCGAAAAATAATTCAATTAATTTAATTAATTTAATTAATTTAATTGTAGGTGAATTAAATGAATTAAACTAATTAATTAATTAAATTAATTAAAAATTTTTTAATTTCTTCGAATTCAATTAATTTAATTAATGTAATTGTAGGTGAATTAAATTAATTAAATTAATTAAATTATTTTTTCAATTTCTTCGAATTCAATTAATTTAATTAATTTAATTGTAGGTTAATTAAATTAATTAAATTAATTAAATTAATTAAATTAATTGAATTATTTTTTGAGGTGTTTCCTGAGGATCAAATAAAGAATCTACCCGACAATTAAATTAATTAAATTAATTAAATTATTTTTCAATTTTTTCGAATTCAATTAATTTAATTAATTTCATTGTAGGTCAATTAAATTAATTAAATTAATTAAATCATTTTCTTAATTTCTTCGAATTCAATTAATTTAATTAATTTAATTGGTCAATCAGTTCAATTAATTAAATAAATTAAATTATTTTCTCAATTTTTTCACATTCAGTATTCTTTATTGAATTTAATTAATTTAATTGTTTAAATTAATTTAATTATTATTCATAGTACTAACAACAGCCACGACGCAAAATAGACCCTAAAGGTCCCTCTCTCATATATATATATGTGATCCCGGTTCTCGGTTCGCCACCCCCCCCACCCCCCCATGGTATGGTCACTCCCCCCCCCCCCCCCCCCCCCCAACCCCCTAAAACCTAAACCCTAAACCCTAACCCTAAACCCTAAACCCTAAAACCCGAATCCCTAAAACCAACCCACAACCACACCACAGGGGGGGGGAGAACCCTAAACCCCAAACCCCAAACCCCAAACCCTAAACCCTAAATCCCTAAACCCGAAAACCAACCCACAACCACACCACAGGAGGGGGAGAACCCTAAACCCCAAACCCCAAACCCCAAACCCTAAACCCTAAATCTGAAAACCAACCCACAACCACACCACAGGAGGGGGGGGGAGGGCGGGTACCATTGGGAGGGGGGGGGGGGGGGGGCACCCGCATCATAAAAGCTCCCCCTCCCCCCCAAGAACCCACTGTAAGCACAGTGTGCATCCTAAATAATCTGAACAGCAAGTTAAGCCGTATGTACATGTTTGTACGCAAAGTTGTTCCAGTAGCTGACAAACAAGCCCTTGGCTCAAACCTTCAAGAGTTCCACTAGACATTATAGAGCTTCCCTATGTTTATTCGTTTAAGGTTTAGGTACAGACCCAAAAGGTTTAGGCTTAAACCTATTCCAAAGCCTTACATGTTCCCTCGCCACTAAAAAAATGCCATGGGCCCCTATTCGTTGACGGTTTGGGCGGACAGCCTGTTCCAAAACTTTACATTTTCCCTCGCTACTAAATATCGCAAATGCCCAGATCCTATTCCCACATATTCAACGAACACTGTTTAGGAGTAGCATAGCCGATTTCTTCAAAGTTTAGGCTGGCACCTAGTCCAAAATCTTTTTTCCCTCGTCACTAAAGGAATTTCACTAATGCCCAGACCCTATTCCCTAAAGACATTTTGCTAAAGTCCAGACAAATTCCCATACTTTCAACGAAAATTGTTTAGGAATATTCGTGCTTCCCATTCCTGTAAACCCCTAAAGTTTATTGAAGATTTAGGCTGAAACCTAGTCCATAACCTTACGTTTCCGTCGCCACTGAAGGCATTTCGCTAAAGCACAGACCCTCGTCCCTCAGCTATGAAGCCCAGACCCTTATTCCCATACTTTCAACGAATAATGGTGGTCAGGCAGCCTATCTCTTGAAGGTGTAGGCTGAAGCCTAGTCCAAAACCTTTCCCCGCGTCACTAAAGGCATGCATTTCACTAAAGCCCAGACCCTATTCCCTAAACAAACTTTACTAAAGCCCAGGAGCTATTCCCATACTTTCAACAGTCTTCCTATTCCTGTAAACCCTATTTTTTTTTGAAGATTTAGGCCCTGAAACGCTTCCCTAGCCGCTGACGGCAGCGCGCTAAAGCCCAGACCCTTTCCCTTACAGAACTTTTTCTACAGCCCAGACCCTATTCCCATACTTTCAACGAATATTGATAGTCACGCAGCCTACTTCTTGAAGGTTTAGGCTGAAGCCCAGTCCAAAAAACCGTATTTTCCCCGCGTCACTGAAGGCATCTCACTAAAGCCCAGACCCTCTTCCCTTAGAACATTTTACTGAAGCCCAGACCCTTTTCCCATACTTTCAACGAAAATTGTTTAGGAATATTCGTGCTTCCCATTCCTGTAAACCCCTAAAGTTTATTGAAGATTTAGGCTGAAACCTAGTCCATAACCTTACGTTTCCGTCGCCACTGAAGGCATTTCGCTAAAGCACAGACCCTTTTCCCTAAAGAACTTTTTCTAAAGCCCAGACCCTATTCCCAGACTTTCAACGTATATTGTTTAGGAATAATCATGCTTCGGTGCCGGCGGGGTGTATCCTTCATGTTTAGGCTAAACTCCTCTCCTGTGAACCCTATTTGTTAAGCATTCCATTTGAGGGCAATTCGCGTCTGCTAAACTGCTCCTGCTCCGCGACTCCGCTCCGGTGCTCCGTTGCTCCGCTGCTCCGTGCCCCGCTCTCTGTTGGATATGGGCTGTTGCTTTGCTCCAATGCTCCGTTGCTCCGCGCTGTGCTCCGTTGCTCTGGTGCCGTGCTCCGTTGCTTCGGTGCAGCGCTTCGTGCTCCGTTGCGCTGCTTCGCCGCTGTCGCCAAAGTTGTCATCGTCTGGATTGTCCATGGATCCCCTGAGGTGCCTTTCTAGGGACCGCCTGGAGACTTCGGGGGCGCCCAAGAAAAAACATCTGGGTGCTCCCTACAAACCCCCTCCCCCCCCACGTGCGCAGCGCGTCTTCCAATCCATCTAACACGCCTCAGTTTGCGGGGGGAGTGGAATGGGTACCGTGGGGGGTTACTTCAGGGGGCCGGAGTACTTTCAGACGTTTGCGCATGAAAGCCGAAACCATCGCAGACCCCATGGGCTCACGCTTGCACACAGGAGAGTCTAAAGGTCAACAAGAACCCGATGAGGATGCCTTCCATTTAGGCTCCCTTGTCAGCCCTTAGAAACAAAGAGCAGGACGCCGTCAAATTCCAAAGATTTTGTGGATCTATGCGAAGTGGACATCATCCGGGAGAGCGAGTCGTACTTCGTTTGCGTTCCTCCTGCAAGCGCAGCCAGACGAATAAGGTGCTCTGAATCTTGGCTCCAGGAAAGCCGAGGCAGACCCTTGTGATATTCAAGTTTTTTGACTGATTGAAAGAGCGCTGTGTTCGGCATTTTTTGCAGCGAGTGTCTAGGGCCAATCTCGGTATAGGGACTAATAGAGAACTTTTTACCCACGCTTCTATTCATGGGGCCACCGCTGTGTTGGGGTCTTATTGGTCACACATTCAGTCACTTATATTTCTCGCATTCTCATATTTTGCTTTTATTAAGGACTTTTGGTTATTTCGTTCCTTTCATTCTCATAATTGTGCCCGCGTATTATTCTTATGTGAAGAGAATTAGTGAGTGCAAAAACAAAATAATTATAAGGTACGCGTGAATAATATTGCAAATGAACGAAATAATGAACGAACCGCGCCCTTTTTCGTCTTTTTATTGGGCGCAATAGTAATAATGATGAAGAGAGAAGAGTGAGAGAGAAGTAATTTATGAACGAAATAATACCGTGAATAATATAAGAAAAGGAGATACAAAAGATATGAAAACGAAATAAATAAACGAAGCAAAAAAAGGGCCTTAATTCTATAGCCTTTTCCCCTTAAGATGAATTTTATTCTGTAGGTTTCATGCGCGTGCTAATTTAAAGATGAAGAAAGTAGTAAATTAGTGAGCATATTTGGCCCTGTATTACGTTTATAGGCCATTAATAGTAATAATATGTACAGTTCATTTCTTTCATTTGTTCATTTCGTATTCTTATTAACGGGACGCGTTCGCTCATTACAATATTATTGTCCCATCTCTAGGAAATATTAAGGAATTATATGGAACGAATGAAAGCAATGAAATGAGTGCACGAATTAACTTATTTTCTCTTCTTATTAGTCTTTCCTTGTAATGTTAAGGTCGCTTTAATAAACCCCCCCCCCCCGGATTTGTTCCGGCGCTGGGTCCAAACAAACTTTGAAAGGGGTCGGGGTGGTAATAATAAAGGGGGGGGGAAGTAGTACTAGTAGTACTAGTACTACTGGGCTGCCCCACATTGGGCTCGGTCTGGATTGCTGTCAGTAAGTAGCCAAAGAGGCTTGCTGATGGAAGAGAGTCCCAGACCGGCATCGCCCCGTTCGCCGGACTTTATTAATGTCACCCTTTATTATTACGATTTCGAGGCCTCGTGGGGGGTAGCCTTGGCGGATTTGTTCGGGAGCTGTTTTTTAGAAGGATTTTAAGAAGAAATCGATGCTTTTCGGTCAGCCACGAAGATCAGGATTTCTGAGCCTGGAGCCGGTTCAAGAGATCGGCAAAATGAAGCTGGGCTGCCCCACATTGGGCTCGGTCTGGATTGCTGTCAGTAAGTAGCCAAAGAGTGAAAAGAGGAGTACTCTCGGAAGCACATTTGGGAAATTCTCCCGGAAAAGTTTCCACTATTACCACCCGTTTTTTGATTACGACCCCCCTCAAAATGGGGTTTAGGGTTCGGGGCAGCCTAACATAATGGAAACTGTTCATGAAACAAACTTTTGGGCAAAAATCCCGGCCGGAAAAGTTGCCACTATTGACACCCGTATTATAAAGGTGACCTTAACATTAATCCAATATTTATTAAGTTAATGAGCTCGCGGACAAAGATAATAAATAATAAGCCTGCAGGAATTACAATGGCTTCCTCATAATTTATTTCACTTTTCATCTTATTTTTCTCACGCGCTCATAAATTTTTTAGGAATGGATCGCCGCTGCGCGTTAACACAAACCTTACCAGAAGCACCTGCGTCGCCGCCGTGCTTTTTGCCAAGACAAAAGCCTTACCACAAGCGCCTGCGCCGCCGCCACGCGTTTTGCCAAGACAAGAACCTTACCACAAGCCTGCGTCACCGCCGCGCGTTTTGGCAAGGCAAAAACCTTACGGCAAGCGCCCGCGTCACACGTTTTGCCAAGACAAACACGTTAACAGAGAGGGAGAGGGAGAGGGAGAGAGGGAGAGAGGGAGAGAGGGAGAGAGGGAGAGAGGGAGAGAGGGAGAGAGGGAGAGGGGGGGAGGGGGGGAGAGGAGAGGAGGAGGAGGAGGAATAGAGGAGGAGAGGAGGAGAGAGGAGGAGAGGAGGAGAGGAGGAGAGGAGGAGAGGAGGATAGAGGAGGAGAGGAGGAGGAGAGGAGGAGGGAGGAGAGGAGGAGGGAGGAGAGAGGAGAGAGGAGGAGAGGAGGAGGAGAGGAGAGGAGGAGAGAGGAGAGGAGGAGGAGGAGGGCGGAGGAGCGGAGGAGCGGAGGAGAGGAGGAGAGGAGAATAGGAGAATAGGAGAGGAGGAGAGGAGAGGAGGAGAGGGAAGGAGGAGAGGAGGAGAGAGGAGGAGGAGAGAGAGGAGGAGAGAGAGGAGAGGAGGAGAGGAGGAGAGGAGGAGAGGAGGGAGAGGAGCGGAGAGGATGAAGCGCCGAGGGAGAAGAGGAAAGGAGAGGAGGAGGGACGAGGAGGAGGAGGAGGAGGAGGAGGAGAGGAGGAGTAGGAGCGAGAGGCGGAGCGAGAGGAGAGAGAGGAGAGCGGCGAGAGAGGAGAGAGAGGAGAGAGGGAGAGAGAGGAGAGAGAGGAGAGAGAGGAGAGAGAGGAGAGAGAGGAGAGAGAGGAGAGAGAGGAGAGAGCGGAGGAGAGAGGAGAGAGAGCGAGAGCGAGAAGAGGAGGAGAGAGGATGAGATAGAGAGAAGGAGAGAGAGGAGGGAAGGAGCGAGAGGAGGAGAGAGGAGAGAAGAGGAGAGAGAGGAGAGAGGAGGAGAGAGAGAGAGGAGAGTAGGAGAGAGAGGGAGAGAGGAGAGAGAGGAGAGAGAAGGAGAGTTGAGAGGAGAGAGAGGGAGAGAGAGAGGAGAGAGGGAGGAGGAAGAGAGAGGAGAGAGAGGAGAGTAGGGGAGAGAGAGGAGAGAGAGGAGAGAGAGGAGAGAGAGTGGAGAGAGGAGGCGAGGGAGAGAGAGGAGGGAGAGAGGATGAGAGAGGAGAGAGGGAGAAGAGGAGGAGAGAGGAGAGAGAGGAGGAGAGGGAGGAGAGAGAGGAGGAGAGGAGATAGAGGAGAGAGAGGAGAGAGGGAGAGGAGAGGAGAGAGAGGAGAGAGGGAGAGAGAGGAAGAGAGAGGAGAAGAGATGGGGGGGGGTGGGAGAGAGGAGAGAGAGGAGAGAGGAGAGAGGCGAGGAGAGGAGAGAGAGGAGAGAGAGGCGAGAGAGGCAGAGAGGCGAGAGAGGAGAGAGAGGGGAGAGAGAGGAGAGAGGAGAGAGAGGAGAGAGAGAGGAGAGAGAGAGGAGAGAGAGAGGAGAGAGAGAGGAGAGAGAGAGGAGAGAGAGAGGAGAGAGAGAGGAGAGAGAGAGGAGAGAGAGAGGAGAGAGAGAGGAGAGAGAGAGGAGAGAGAGAGGAGAGAGAGAGGAGAGAGAGGAGAGAGGAGAGAGAGGAGAGAGGAGAGAGAGGAGAGAGGAGAGAGAGGAGAGAGGAGAGAGAGGAGAGAGGCTGCAACACACGCTAGCTCCCAGATTAGAGAGCAACTCCCCGTGTTGGAGAGCAACAGCGAAGCTCCCCGCCTCAAACGGTCAGAAGCAACTATAAGAGGAAAACTTGAAAATACACTGGTCCATGGTCTCAAGTGCCCAGACTGTCTTTCTCTGCAATACCAGTATCTTGCCTTTACTGAGCAAAGCCAGTTCTGTAAGCGTGCGCAACATGCCTCCCCGCCGGACTTTGCGGCCGCCCGGAAGGAAGGCATGTGGCCCAATCGTTGTCGAGGCACAGCACACGCATTGAAGGGTGACAAATACAAGCAGGGGCCCTTTACGCTTTCCCAGGCTGGGATGTGTAGAATTGTGTCTTGGGAGGAGTCCGAACACCAGAAATGCTTGTGTCCTAGATGCGCCAGAGAGGGCGGATGGGGGACTCTTGCTGTGAGGCCAAGAAAAATAATTTTGCTCCTCTCCTCTCCTCTCCTCTCCTCTCCTCTCCTCTCCTCTCCTCTCCTCTCCTCTCCTCTCCTCTCCTCTCCTCTCTCTCCTCTCCTTTCCTCTCCTTTCTCCTCTCCTCTCCTGCAAGCGCATTTGGGGCGTTGCGGAGGCTACGAGATAGGTTGAAGCTCCGAAAGCGAATGCGGACAGGTTTGTGATTGCAAGCTGGCCCAAGACTTTTCCGGAAATCTTTGTTCTTGGTTCTTGGTTCCTGCCGTGCTTTTCAACACTGGGACAGTGTTAATTACCACTGGGCCAGTGTTAATTAACACTGTCCCAGGCTCAGAAAACCAAATTATGGAGCTTTTGTCTTTGAGCGTGGGTTGGGGGGGGGGGGAGGGGAGGGGGGGGTACAATATGTACATATATATAGTTATATACATATACATACACGTATACATATACATGTACATGTACATGTACAGACTGTTTTGTTTATTCTGTTATGAACATCTAGGGGTATATGCATATACAACTATGTATTCCAATACGAATGTATACACGTCGCATGTACTTGGTTGTTTTGCGTTACTTGCATGCACATGGATAAAAGTATAGGCAAGCAAACTTGGGATGTTTCCCCTTACAGAGCCTTACAGGTGGAACGTGGTCCTCTCCCTGCCATCTGCCTCGGACAGCGGCTGCATCGTCTACAAGCGCCTCGGCTTCCTCGCGCGCGCCGGAGTTTTTTGATTCAGGCTTTTGGGATGCCGGGAGTTTCTGCTGAAAGGAGGGGATCGCAGCTGCCCGAAGCTCCTCAGATGCTTTAGTTTGCAGTAGTATCCCCTCATAGTCCCTCTATCGTTCTATCAGAATATCACCCCAAAGCCCTATACTAATCATTCCCTGGATTTTAGTAGGGAATGCTGGCATTAAGGCCCTGTATATATATATATATATACACCCTTTAAGGCATTTCATAGGGTACGTCCTTCCCCCATTCCCTACTAAGGACCAGCCATATTACTCCCTAAACCCTAAAACCCTAAACCCTAAACCCTAAGCCCTAAACCCTAAACCCTAAACCCTAAACCCCAAACCCCAAACCCAAAACCCTTTTTGGAGCCCAGGTACCCAGCCGAAGCAGAGGAGGAGGACGCGTGCTCCGTGGAGATGCTCGGGCATGAAGAAGTCAGAAGAGGCCAATGACTTGGTAGCCCAGTGGTACCCTTTACTTTTTGTGCAACCAAAAATGGGTGCCCTTATTGCAGTATGGTTACTGGGCTACCAGGGGCTTTAGGGTTTAGGGGTTTACTCCACATAGGCATCTATGTCTACACAACTCACTACCCCAACATACCGAGTCTTTGTCTCAACTCACGTCTGAGCCGGTCCGAGTTAGAGAGAGCAGCACCAGCTTCAAGGGATTCCCCTTAAAATGCTCCCAACATGGCCCTTTATATGCCCTAAAAAAGCCCCAAAACCCAAGGGTACGACCTGAAGGGTCCAAGGTAAAACCCTTAGACAGCTGAGGATAGCTGGTCTCACCTTGAAGATCCGGCTCTTCACGGTTCTCACCAACCTCCTGCCCCGCACGCTCCTGCAGTGTGTGCAGCCCACCTTCATGGTGAGTAGAAACCCTCAACCCCTGAACCCCTAAGCCCTAAATCCTAAACCCTAAGCCCTAAACCCTAAACCCCAAACCCTCAACCCCTGAACCCCTAAACCCTAAACCCTAAACCCAAAAAACCCTCAACCCCTGAACCCCTAAACCCTACACCCCAACATCCACAGCCCGAAAAACCTCCAGGAGTTCGTTGGAATTCGGAGGGCAGTTGGCAGCGCTTGGAGTCCCCAAGCCCCTAAGCCCTGAAACCCTGGGTTTAGGGTTTAGTTTCGGGTTAGGGTTCAGGACGTAGGGTGTAAGGTTTAGGGTTTAGGGTTTAGGGTTTAGGGTTTAGGGGTTAGGGTTTAGGGCTTCGGGTGGTTCAACTCTTTCGTTCACCGCTTTCTTCGAGGTTCTTCGTGGTGGGGATCGAGTACCTCCTGTCGGTGACGAAGATCGAGGACCTGATCTTGAATAGCCTGGCGCTGATGGCGCCTTTCCTGTGGACAAGCTCCAAGCACGCTCCACCCCCCAAGAGCACCCCGAAACCCTTTCCCCTGTAGGTGCTCTTAAGGGAGAGGCTCCCTAAGCTTCCCCAACATGCCTACCCCAATGAACCCCCCCCCCTTCCTGAAGACCTGAAGAACTCTATAATCATCCTATAATCCCCACAACAAAGGCCCCCCCAAGAAGCTCCCAGCCATGCTTTCTACTGGGTTTGTTTGGGGATTTTAAGGATGCTTGGGTGCTTTGCTGCCTCCGGTGTTACGGTCAGAGCGCCTTGGGTTGCTCAGGTTCGGGTTTGGGGGCCTACCGGAAACCCTAAACTCTAAACACCCTAAAGCCCTTCAACAAAACCCTGAAGCCCTAAACCCTTGAACCCTTAAACCCTAGGGTCCGAGGCACCGGAAAGCTCTGAGGGTAGCTACATGGTCCCTTCATAGGGGCCCTTAAAAAGGGGACCCCTTATGTATCCATTAAAAAACCCCGTAAAACACCCTTTAAAGACGGAAGGGACCCCACATTAAGGGCCCATGAAACCCCGAAACCCTAAACCTTAAACCTAAACCCTAAACCCTAAACTCTAAACACTAAACCCTAAACCCTAAACCCTAAACCCTAAACCCTAAACCCTAAACCCTAAACCCTAAACCCTAAACCCTAAACCCTAAACGAACCTCAGAAACCCAAGGTATTGGTGACCATCGACGAGATGCTCTTCGTGGCCTTCACGGGTGAGCAGAACGCCATCTGGATTCAGAACTGCGAGCCTCTCGAGGGGACCTCCTTCAAGTGGCTGGAGCCTCTGCTTTGCGGTTTAGGGTGTAGGGTTTAGGGTTTAGGGTTTAGGGTTTAGGGTTTAGGGTTTAGGGTTTTGGGTTAGGGGTTGAGCCTGAACTGTTAAGGGTTTAGGAAGTTTGCACGGTGTGCAGAAACCCTACACCTCATACCCTAAACCCCACCAACTCCCGGCTTCGCAGACGTGAGCCTCGTTCGGCGATTGCCTGAATCCAGGGCCTAGTATAGGGGCCTATTGGGCATCTTTGGGCAGTTTGCTTCTCTAAGCTCCTGTATGGCGCGTGCGACAAGTGTTCTCCCATGTTCAGCTGCACAGTTGGACGTGCGCACGGCAGGCCTCACAAAAGACATCACGTGCAATCTCAGTTTGAACCGCATGGGATGTCTCTCAATGCTACATAGTCTCACACGAGTGAAGCCCACCACCCCAAACTCCCGAACCTTGCTCGGACAATGTTGCTCTGCATTCTAGGGCCATGAGCGATGCGGCGTATTCAGTATATTCCGTATACTTTTTGCTACAAGTCCCCCCCCCCCCTCCCAAAGAAAAAACAAGGAAAAACATAAAAAAAACTAAAAACCCAAAGAACAAAAGAAGCAAGAAGGGGGCGGAAAGGACTGGCTGCTGTCTGCGACGCACATGCCCGTCGGCCTGCTCATCTTCGTTCCCATCACCGCCACGCTGGCGGGGTACATCCTGAACCACGTGACGATGATGGCCCTGCAGGCCTGCCTTAGGAGAGAGCGGATTTAGGGTAGAGGCGGGGTTGAGGTGGGGTTTAGTAGGGCTTCTAGTAGGTTTGGGCTCAAAAGCAGGGTTCAAGAGGGAGCTGAGGGTTGTTGTAGAGCTCAGCCCGAACAGAAGCTGCCGAATCCTCTTCGAAGATTCCATTTTGAAACCCTGGTGTGAGACCTTCCATTCACCCAAACACGTTCGCCTAGGCTCAGGCAACGTCCTGCCTCTGTGACCTCAAGGCAAGTTCAATGGGGTGTAAGAAGCCCCACAAAACCTGGGCTTTTGGGGGTGTTCTGATGTCGAAGCGTGCGTCCTGCAGTGACTTGGGCTTCTCATGAAGCTCATGAGTGGTGCGGGAGCGATTTTCTCGATGATTGTTGTTAAGCGCCGCCAATGTCATGGCTTGTGGTGCAGCTCTGGGCCCTAAACGATCTAAGCCCCGGAACGATGGCCTTCCGAGAAATTTTTCTTCTTGCCACTAAACCCCTGAGCACCTGAAAGCCCTCCAATGCCACCCTAAACCCTAAACCCTAAACCCTAAACCCTAAACCCTAAACCCTAAACCCTAAACCCTAAACCCTAAACCCCAAAGACCCTGAATCCCAACCATCCCGCTACTGAACCCCTGAAAGACCCCTAAGCCCCAGCAAGCGGCGAAAAAGCTCCTTCAAGAACCCTGCTGGTTGTTTTCTTCGACGATCCTAAGCCCTAAGCCTTTCTGAGTTAGCTTCTGGGAAATCCCTACACCCCATTTTCTTCTGGCCCCATCATGAAGCACGCTGGATGGCGACTTCAAAGCCCAAAGCCCTAAACCCGAAGCCCGGAATCAAACCCTGGAACCCTGTAGCCCTGAACCCCCCCAATCCTCTAAAGCCCGAAAACCCGAAACCGGAATCCCCAAAAGACATATTAAAAAAGTGAAAGAAAAACATAAAATATATTGAAACAAAAATAAAATATGATCATAAGCAGCATCCATCAGAGGGCGACTCCTGCTTCGCGCCCCGATTCCTGGCTGGGCGCCTGGCGGCCGCGGCCTCCCTGTGAACGCCGGAGTTCCGTGGATCGGATCCAGCTGACCCAAGGGTTTAGGGTTTTTAGGGTTTAGGGTTTCGGGCTTGGGGTTTAGGGTCTGCGGTTTACCGGGGAGATCTTTGCAAGTGGGCGCCGGGCGTTTGGGGTGCCGGGAATTGCGCGAGCGGTTTGATAGGGAACGGAGGTTCCCTCTTAGGCGCCCACTTGCAGAGCCACCCCCCCCCCTTCCGAGCAAGCTTGCGACGAAGCTCGTCTTGCATCTGATCTGGTCGAGCGCTCGGCCCAAGTGCATCTCCTAGCAAGGCCACCTGACCGCGCCGGATGCCAGATGTTGCAGTGATGTAATATAGGGGGTCGGAAGAATTGCTAATGGTATTCCCTTACGGCCCCTTTTCATTACACTCTCAGAATCCCCGCCCCCCCCCCCAAAAAAAAAGAAAAATAAAAACATAATCCCGGCTTACCGTTCGTTGCACAGCATGGAAGTAAGGATCAGCACCTCAACCTCCTAACCTTCGCCCTCAAAAGCCCCAGGAAACCCTGGCCCCTAAACCCTGAGCTCGAAACCCTAAACCCTAAACCCTAAACCCTAAACCCTGAACCCTGAACCCTGAACCCTAAACCCTAAACCCTAAACCCTAAACCCTAAACCCTAAACCCTAAACCCTAAACCCTAAACCCTAAACCCTAACCCTAAATACACACCTTACATCCGAACAAGCCCTAGATTCCCTCCCCCGCCCACCCCGAATGGCATCAGGTCTGTGGCCCCTGTTGCTCGGGATCACAACTTTTTACCCGTCGAACCACCGGGTGGGCGGCTGTCAGGGTGAGGCGTTCGGGGAGTTAGAGGCTCGGAGGTGTTGAGGGGATGAAGGATCTGTAGTAGTCTAGAGGCTTTTTCAGAGGCTTGGGGGTGGAATAGCCCCCTTGGAGCAGCCCCCCCCCCCCCACCGGTTTTTCTCGGTCGGACCTCCAAAGGACGCGACGACCTGCGGAAAGAGTCCCCCACCCCCCAACCCCCAAACCCAACACCCTAAATCCTAAACCCCAAACCCCAAACCCTAACACCCTAAAACCCTAAACCCTCAACCCTCAACCCTGAATCCTGAACCCTGAATCCCGAACCCTGAGCCCCAAACCCTAAACCCTAGACCCTAGACCCCAAACCCTAAACCCTGAGATGAGGACTCCCGCCATGTTGCCCGCACTTGTCCGTACGGCCTCAAGGACCTCGCAAAGCTCGAGCCTTCTTGCATCCCTGCACCAACCACCTAAGGCTCTTCCCTAACACCCATAATCTAGGGTTCGGAATAAAGTACTTATCGTATTCCCTTGGGTCCCTTTACCTATTCTAATCATTCCTGCCGCTATGTTACCCTATACCCTCAAAATCCTCCACCTACTCCAAGCTCTTGGGCTCCAGCCAGAAAGGCCTCGCCCCCCCACTCAAGCCCACACCCTGGGAGCCCCGCCCTTTCGATCACCAGAGGACCCCAAGGCCTCCTATGCGAAGCCCTAAACACTAAATCCCCAAATTTTGCTGGGGTCATATACCCTCTACACCCCTAGTCCCCTATCAAGGTATATGGACCATAAGCCCTAAAGGCTTCGAAGTTCGAAGCCATGGCCGGGGATCTCGCCTCAACCACGCCACTGGCAACGCCGCTGGCGACGCCGCTGGCGACGCCGCTGGCGACGCCGCGGCGCAGTGCGCTCCAGACCGGTGGCCGGGCTTTAGGAGGTCCAAAGGTGGGGGGTTTAGAGCTTAGGGAGGTTTGGGGGTCCCAGGATTTGGGGGAGTTCTAATGGGGTTTAGAGATTAGGGAAGCTTTAGGAGTTTAAGGGTTTGGGGGAGTTCTAAGGGAGTTTTGAGCTTAGGGGGTTTTAGCGTCTTGGGGTTGAATTAAGGCTTTGGGTGGTAGGTTAGGTAATTTCAACGCTACGCGACCCGCCTCGGCCCGGCCCAGCGCATGCGCGTGAGCATGGATAAGGGTTGGGTTGAGGGTTGAGGGTTGAGGGTTCCGGGTTTATGGTTTATGGTTTGGGGTTTGGGGTTGAGGGTTAGTTTAGGGCTCAAGGTTCACGCTTTGGGGTTGAGGGTTTTTTTGGGTTTAGGGTTCGGCTTGGAGTGATCGTAGGGTTGAGCGGGAGGTGGGGAGGGGAGGGGGGGGAGGGGGTGGGGGGGAGGGGGGAGGCCTGGTGGGGGGCGGGGTCGGTAGGGGGGGGGGAGAGGGGCCCTGCTGGCTTCAACTGCCTCTGGTCCTGGCGAACCGTCCGCTTGCGGACCCCGGTTTCCCAGGGGGGGGGGTACCCATTTGAGGCCAAAAAAAGGGGTCCGAAAAAGGGCTTTGGGTGTGGGGGGAGGATTTGGAGGGGGGTGCCTGTTCTGACAACCTATACACCTCCGGCCCGAGGCCTCGGCGGATTAGTACGGTAGGGTCCCCCTTCGTGGGAGTGCTGTTGATCACAGAAGGGGGATATCTTAAGGGGTCTTGCAACCTTGTTTGGAACCCCTTTCAGACATTGGTAGAGATAAACGCAACCCTAAACCCCCAACAAAGCCAGCTGTAAACCCGCAACACTCGCATCCTTTTTCACGGATATGCGAGTTGCGGCCCCTCCCGCCTGGCGCGGACGAGAAGAGACAATCTGGAGTGACAGAGCCCAAAACTCGCCTTTAAGGCGTCCCACTCCTCTCCTAGGAGGCGAAGATAGCGTGCAACCCAGACGTAAAGCTCCGGCCAGCACTGCAAAAGCCCTCGTGAAGAAGGCCAAACGGGACCCCCCGCCTGCTGACCTTGGTACGATATGACGTCCTTGTGTGCACCAAGAACCTGCCTGTATGGAAGCCCATGACACGTGCTGAGAATCGCTAAGGCGAAGGCTGCTCCAACAAGATGTCAAAACTGCCCCAATGAAGAGGCGTCAAGAAGGAGAACCCATGTCCAGCAGCAATTGTCTTTCTAAGACAGCCAAAGCAAAAAGGAGCGCGCGGTCCCCAAAATTTGCACTCTGTAGAGTCTCAGAAGCTCTAGACCCAAGAGGGTTGTATGGGAAGTGATGTAGTACCCTGAGTATGGTCGCTTAATTTACGATACTCTACAGAACAAGAGCACGACAAAGAGCGAAGCTCCCACCTCCCCCCTAGCAGCTTCCAATCACCCAAAGCAAGCTTCCGAACTTGCCGGTTCGAAGAAGAGCGTGAGCACCTGAACCCTATGAGCCCTACACCCAAAGCCCAAGACTCTCAACCCAAAATCCCAAACCCAAAACCCAAAACCCAAAGCCCAAAACCCAAAACCCTAAACCTAAACCCAAAACCCTAAACCCCACACCCCCAAGCAAACCCGAAAGAGAGAGAGTCAGAACGAAAGAGAGCTCAGGTGGCGAGGCCGTCCTCCTCGGCCCCTTGGTTTGAGGGGTTTTGTGGGGGTTATTCTTCCGGTGCTGCGGAGTGGGCTCTTAGAAGCTCAGCGAAAACGGGTTAAGGGGGAGGGGGGGGGCATCAATGGAGCATCCAAGGCGGCGTGCCCACACGCCTGGAGGCGAAGTTCCAGAAGGCTAGGGCTTCATGGGTAGCTTTTGATTTGGTCCCTTCTTTGGGCCCTTCTTGAAAAGGTGCCGTACTATGTCTCGGACCCAAAAGGGGCCCTGATTTAGAGAATTGCCCTCATGCATTCAGACCCTCTCTATCCGAAGAGAGTAGGAGTACATCACGAGACGTTGAGATGAAGATGGCCTTTCGTCTGCCTTTGAAAGCCGTTGAGACCTCCCAACCAGGACAGCCCACCGTAACCCCAAACCCCAAACCCCAAACCCCAAACCCCAAGCCCAAAACCCCAATCCCTCAACCCTCAACCCTCAACCCTCAACCCTCAATCCCTCAACCCTCAACCCTCAACCCTCAACCCCAAATCCTAAACCCAAAACTCTAAAACCCCAACCCCCAACCCCCAAACCCCAAACCCCAAACCCCAAACCCCAAACCCCAAACCCCAAACCCCAAACCCTAAACCCTAAACCCTAAACCCTAAACCCTAAACCCTCCTGCAGGCCGGCGCACACCCACCGCGCCTTCCTGGCCCCGACGGCTTCCCGCCGGCGGGGAAGTCGACGAACTGCCACGCGCCAGGCGCGGAGTCGTGAATGTTTAGGGTTTCGGGTTTAGGGTTTTGGGTTTTGGGTTTAAGAACTGCGAAGGCTTTACGTTGATCGTCCAGGAATTGCCCTTTGATCGGCGCAATAGAACTTGAAGTTGCTTGGCTTAGGGTGAGGGTTTTGGGTAGTATGTGGGTCGATTTTGGCCAGTGAGGTGAGGCAGAGGGGACGTGCAGACACCAAAGGTAAGGAGGAGGATGCCGCGCATGCACGAGTCAGTAGCGGTCGTTGTTTTTCTCTGGAGCTCAGGGTTTGCACTTTTGTGTAGTCTTGTCTATATTTCTGGAAAGTACCAATCTGTTGGGGGGCATGTCTATTTTCTGCTGTTTTTATGGCTGAGCACTTTGAAGCCAAATACATCACACCCTAAGCCTTAAGCCCTAAACTTTCCAAACCCTAAACTAAGCAAGGCGTCAGCACCCTACGGCATGCCAAGACCCCCTCAAAAGTCCTTTGGCAGACAAGCCCCAGGCTGGCACCGGGCCGTCCAGCCAACGGAAGGCACGGTGGGCAGATGGTGGGTTTAGGGTTTAGGGTTTAGGGTTTAGGGGTTAGGGTTTAGGGTTTAGGGTTTAGGGTTTAGGGTTTCGGGTTTAGGGTTTAGGGTTTAGGGCAAGTTCAGGGGCTCCTAAGTCTCAAACCAGAGAAAAAACTGAGGCCTAAGCCCCAAATCCTACACCCTAAACCACAACCCCCGTTGGCCAGATCCTTGAGACCTTTCTTGAACCTGCGGGTGGGTTCTTCTTGAGACTGATATTATATAGGGTAAACAAGGGTGTGGGGATTTGAGTCTAGAGTTTAGGGTTTAGGCTTGGGACATTCTACCCCTCCCCCCTGCTAAAGGCACTCGG